ATACAATTTACATTGAAACCTTAGTTTTATAGGTGATCTGAATACTGGTGCACACAAGAGAACGTTAAATAGGTCACATGCAAATATTCTGTCATTTTACACTAGGAACTTGAGCATGTGAGAACTTGAGTCTCTAGGGCTGTGGCTTTCTAAATGCATTTGTAGGAAGTCTGGGGCAAGATCGTTTGGCATTCTTGTCATTTTCTTCTGTTTCTACAACTGTTTTGTATTCAATATTTTTATGAGTCCCATTATCATTACCTACAGAAGTCTTTAAGTCTTTGTTTTCAAACTCAAGTTTCATTATTTCCCATTATGTCTAATCTATGAACTCTGTGTGAGTGTGTGTGTGTGAGTGTGTGTGTGTATGTGTGTGTGTGTGAGAGAGTGTGTGTATGAAAGAGGGAGGAGGGAGGGAGGGAGGGAGAGAGAGAGAGAGAGAGAGAGAGAGAGAGAGAGAGAGAGAGAGATCTGTGTGTTTTCATTCATGAAGACTGCATATGAGTGTGTGAGTGTGCAGGTATGTTTGCTCATGCACACTTAAAAGGCCAGGACATTGGATGTCTCCCTTTATCACCCTCCCTCTTGTTGCTTTAAGACAGTTGTCACTGAATCAGAAGGTCAACATTTTAGCTGGCCAGGGAGTTCTCATGATCTGCCTGTCTCATCCCTACAATGATGAAGTTACAAGTATTCAGAGCTATGCCTGAGTCCAGGTTTTCCAACTTGGATCCTAATGCTGTGTCCTTACCTCCATTACTCTGAGCTGTCTCCCTAGCCCTGCAACTTGAGTATTAAAAGAAAAGACAGAACACAGAGCTTTAGAAGAAGTTAGTAAATCTTGATACCAGTCAACTCATTTGATGGGGACAAAAGGTGGTGTATCACAATGAAGGAGCACTGTAGAGTGGCTTCTCTTGGCCACACAGGTCAGGCAGTTCAATGCATCTTACAGGAAAAATGGGTATATTAGCCTTTCAAGTCATTTATATAGACAGTGCCAATGGGACTTGTACTGTACACCAAAATCACCTCCAGAGACTCAAGTCAATGTTTTTCATGACCTCTACTTTATCCAGTCACTCAGCAATCGTCTTGGCTGCACTTAGACATTTTATGGAGAAACCCTGTCCTTTATCACTCCTTCTACCCCTTACCCTGCTCCTTTATGTCTAATCTGAATCATTGCAATAAACTACACATTTGCCTCTGTATCCTAACTTCTCAATGGGGAAGACCTCTTTAAGCAATAAGGTCTGTTTGTCCAAAACCCTCCACATGGCTCCTTTATCAGCCAAATACTCATACAGATGTAAACAGTGAGTTAATCTGGCAGTTATATTTTTTTTACTTTATGCTAATCCCATTAACCACACAGAGAAACCAATTTTTATTTAAAACTGTACCTCAATAGCTGAGCACAGTTAAATGGCCTACTATTGCCTTCTATGCTAATCTGGCTACCTCCCAGCCCCATCTTATGACGCTTGCATATTATTCTTGATCTGGCGCTTTAGGCTTAAGATGTCCTTCTGTGATCTCTTTCTAGACCCCTTCCTCATGGCTCCAAATCCTCCGTCCTCCTGGCTGCTCTGAAGTTCCCTCTCTCCCCTCTACTTCTTCTGGTTGGTAGACATCCCACCCTATTATGCCTGCATTCCCCACTGTTGTCTAATAAGAGGCTCTTTTTTATTATAATAATAAACAACCTACAGTAGGGCCAATTATGAAACAGTTATAAAAATATTAGATAAGAGTTAAATTCGCAATGTTCAGTTCATTATTTTCAGCAACTAGATAAAATATTCTATCATCTATCTTATTTTGGTGAATTCAGAGCTCTATGTCTAAATTACTTTTTAATGTTAAAATCTTTTTAGACCTAGAACATCTTCTTGAATCCTAAACAACTTATGCTTATAGTAAGATTATGGCTATCTAGTCTTCAACCCCGTCAGAGACCTAAGAAGGAATAAATATTACCCGAGTTTGCAGGAAGTACAGGGATGCAGCTTCCAAAATTTATAGAAATGACAGAGATGGTTGATCATCTGGATAGTCTCCAATATTCTCTATAGTGTTGGAGCATCTATCTTCAGCCTTCTGGCCCAGAATATTTGACAGATCTTTTATGAAGCAAGAATTATGAAGGATGTGCTTATCCTGTGTTGAAAGGGCTTGGCAATCAACTTTCCTACATTCATTTGTCCTTTCTGGACAGCATTCTGTCTGCAGATAAAGTTAGGGCATTTTCTTTGCCCAGTAGCTAGTTTGCCACAATTGAAGCAACTTCATATGGAGGTTTTTAATGCTTATCATCTTCTTTGAAGTGGAATTGGTGTACTGTCAGGAACAGACCTGTCTCATAGTCAAAAAATCATAAATTAATAAAATTATATTTAAATGCTATATTCTGTAAGTCTCTGAGATTTTTGAAGACCAATTATTTATTCATAGTATATCTGAATTGTCAAACATTGTTTGTTCTTAGCTATTTACTATCTGAATAACCTTGAAAACATATTATTATAATAATCTAAGCTAGTATCTCATATGATCATGTTTGACTATCTGACTCTTGATTTTATTTCTTAACCACCCCTAATAGTTCATAATTTGTATTATTATCATCTCTAAC